ACTCAATTAGATCTAAAACTATACCATTTTTTTACCATCGACAAACTGTTAATGTGTAGAGATTTTACTCGCCATAAATTATATGAAGTTTGCTTAGTTAAAGAAGAAGTCTAAAGAAATGTCATGATAATAAGAATAATTTAACAATTTAAAAGGATGTCTAGTAAATGGTTTAAATGATCAGTGTGTGTGTGCGTGTGTGTGTGTGTGTGTGTGTGTGTGTGTGTGTGTGTGTGTGTGCGTGTGCGTGTGCGTGTGCGTGTGCGTGTGCGTGTGTGTGTGTGTGTGTGTGTGCGTGTGAGTAACAGCACCTGTTAAGTTTCCACAAATGGAATGCTGCGCTTCAGCTCCTTTTATGGTTACATCGAGCGTCAGACGGAAATCTGTGTCTCTTTTATTATGGTCCCCCTTTTTTTTTTTAAAGCAGGTGTTCCGTGTCTTTCTAAACAGACATTACCAAGCCATAACGAGATATTAAAAAAATGTGAAGTGTGATACATTTTCTTAACCTGACATATGGACTGATAAATGAGGTTTATTTAAACTCTGGACGTGTTGTATATTTTTCTTGGGGAAGGGGGGAAGTCATGGGTTTCTGTTTCGTGCCGGACTCGGCCCGTCGGCGCTCCTTCTGTTTCCGTGTCTGGGAGGAGAGCAGTAGTGTGATTCGAGAGGAGGATTTTATCTGTCAAAATGCAGGTCCGTAACGCTTTATTAGTCATTTAAACGCCGTGTTTTACTGTAGTTGAATGATCCTATTTAACAAGGGTTGATGTCGGTGTTGTAGACTCAGGTAAATTCGAAGCAGAGGTTTTAAAGTTAAAAGTTAGCATGTAGCATGGCGTTAAAATGTTAGCTGTACTGTAAACCAGGTCAGGTTTTAAATTCCCCTTTAACATTTAAAAGTTAGTACAATATTTTAAAAGTGTTGTGAAAACACATTTATATATATATATTTTTTAATGATGACTATTGCTTTAATGGATTTTAAATAATTAAAAGGAAAATATAGTTAGTGAAATCTGGATAATCTGCTGATGGTTTTGTCTAGTTTTTATGTTTCAGCATTAAATATTTATTACAGCTGAGCAGTATATCTATTGATCACAACAAGAGGTAGTAAAGGAAACAAGAAGCTCACATATTCACCTTTATTAGTACTTTATTCTGTATGATCATAGTCTGCAGTTATTAATTAGAGTTTGTCCCTCAGTACCTCCTAATAACAGTGTGTTGATAGTAAGGCAGGAAGTTGTTGTATGTGAATGATGATCTTAATATGCTTTGCTTTGTATGGTCCTTTTTATAATTGCTTTAATGGATTTTAAATAATTAAAAGGAAATATAGTTAGTGAAATCTGGATAATCTGCTGATGGTTTTGTCTAGTTTTTATGTTTCAGCATTAAATATTTATTACAGCTGAGCAGTATATCTATTGATCACAACAAGAGGTAGTAAAGGAAACAAGAAGCTCACATATTCACCTTTATTAGTTCTTTATTCTGTATGATCATAGTCTGCAGTTATTAATTAAGAGTTTGTCCCTCAGTAACCTCCTAATAACTGTGTGTTGATAGTAAGGCAGGAAGTTGTTGTATGTGAATGATGATCTTAATATGCTTTGCTTTGTATGGTCCTTTTTATAAGGTAGAAATAAGCAGAAACATCTTTAGTTAGTTAGTTGATTTAAATTTGTTTTTATTTCTGTTTTATTTTTCTTCCTGTAGCACTTAGAGATGTTTTAAGGTGCATTACAAATTAAATGTATTATTATTATTATTATTATTATTATTATAGTGGATCAGGGACTTTTTTGAATGTATTCACTCTTTCTTTGAGACGCTGCCTCCAGATCTCAATATACTCATTTATAAGCATCTGATTTCACTCAGTGTCACTCTCGTGTTCAGATCCTCAAATACTGTTTTAAAGTCTTTCATTTAAAAAAAAAAAAAAAACAAGTTACTGTGTAATTTTACATTATTGTATTTTTTATTGTATTTTTTTATTTTTTTATTTATTTAAATGATGTAAATATGTTTGATCTGTTTTTAACTTCTATTTTTTATTTTTAATAGTCTATTCCCGTCCCCTGTTTTCTGGAGCTGCTGTAATGCACAAATTTCCCCCACGGGGGATCAATAAAGTTTATCTTTATCTTCATCTTTATAGCTGAATGAAACTCATCATAACAGTACATGTTTTTGTTTTCTGCTCAGGACCCGAACGAAGACACAGAGTGGAATGATATCCTGAGGAAGAAAGGTATTCTTCCTCCCAAAGAGACGCCTAAAGATGATGAAGAGGAGGAGCTGGCACTCCACAGCAGTCTATCGGTAAGAGACAGTTGGGGATACACCGCATCCTGAAACACGGGTTGAGTGTCACCCAGTTTATTCACATTTTTTAATTTAAATTGCAGACGAAGCAATCGTGATCATGTTCATTTTAAATACAGTTTAATCTGCTTCATTTGTCCTCCGTTCAATTGATCACTGAGGGTAAGATTATATATTTTTTTGTTTTTCGGGAAAAGTTAAAACATATGAGGACATGACTCTGGACGAACTGGAGGAGAACGAAGATGAGTTCGGTGAAGAGGACGAGGCTGCCATTGAGATGTACAGGTAAACAGAGATTATCTATAACAGGGTCTTGAACAATGAGAGACTACAAATCCCTGGATTATGAATCATTTTAAAACATTTGTTATAAATTCCTGTCAAAAAATCCTCCAAATCCTCCTTCAAAAGAGGTTTTGGACTTTAGACTGAAACAAATTCACTGTTACTGTACACTGATATGAGATGTTTCTCCTTGCAGACAGAAGCGTCTCGCAGAGTGGAAGGCAACTCAGATGAAGAATGTGTTCGGCGAGGTGGTGGAAATCTCAGGGCAGGACTACGTCAAGGAGGTCAACAAGGCCGGAGAAGGCATCTGGGTGGTGCTGCACCTCTACAAACAGGGGTAGGGTTTGCAACAAAACTGCACACTTGTAGAAGTTAGAAACTGTGAAGGCCTACAGAAGTATTTTACATCTTCAACTACAGATAATATTGAAGTTAAGGTTGTGATATCTTGATGTTGCTGGGTTGAGAATCATTTTTTTTGTACTCTGGCCTTTCACAAAAGAAAACTTCGAAGCCAACACAGCTGCTTTTAAGTCATTTTTTTTTTCAGTATGTTTAAGATTTTTGACATGCCACTCAAACTAGTTTAAGTACCACATGTTTTCCTTCATCCAAGTAATGGTTTTATCTCCTTTCCCAGCATCCCTCTGTGTACCCTCATCAATCAGCACCTGAGCATGTTAGCCAGGAAGTTTCCTCAGACCAAGTTCCTCAAATCCATCTCCACCACCTGCATCCCCAACTACCCAGACCGCAACCTGCCCACCATCTTTGTCTACTTTGAGGGAGAGATGAAGGCACAGTTTATTGGACCACTGGTATTCGGGGGCATGAACCTCAAAGTTGAAGGTAGGATGTTACTTTCTCAAGAAATAAATGGCAGCAATTAAATCTTCAAGGCCACCAGAGTAAATCTGAAGTAATGCAGACATGACTTTTTAAAGAATTGCATAGCCTTTCTGTTAGAGAAAAATACATGTATTTGGACATTTAATGATTCTTCTCCAAGCGGGCTATACTAACTTTTCATCACATACTAATATGTAGAATGGTTGAGCTTGTATATAGGGAAACATGGCCCAAACTAAGATCAATCCTGTAATTCACTGATGTTCTAATGTTCAGCTATTGGTTCTTAACTCCAGTGAAACAGTACAATTCTGTTCATGTTTTATTTGTCCTTTCTGTCCCATCCAGAGCTGGAGTGGAGGTTATCAGAGTCCGGGGCTGTAAAGACAGACCTGGAGGAAAACCCTAAAAAGCAAATTGAAGACAAGCTCATGTCATCGATCAGATGTTCCATGCCTACACGAAAGGACAGCGACTCGGAGGACGAGGACTAGTAGTGAAAGAACAAAACCTGCCACTCCAAAACAGAGATTCCTCGTGGTCGCTTCAAGGGGAACAACCTGAGGAGTTTAAAATACCATGTTTTGACTCTGAAACAGGTCCTCAGTCCTGCTCGAGGGCACTGGGACAAACACTCTGCTGGAGAGAATCAAACCCTGTTGATTTAAAGTGCAGCCTCGTGTACCTTCTGGGAAAACCGCCAAACAGTCACTCTTTTGTCATAAAAAATAAATGTCCAACTCCAACAACAAAAGCATCGAAGACAAATTTTAACTTTTTTATTATGTTTCATGATAATTATGTCACAAAATGTACATGTGCATTTAAATCTGCTGGATTAAATGTGAGTTCATCTCTTTGCCACAATAATAAGTGCCTGTTTTCATGGTTTCTTTTTTTAAGTCTGCGTCAAAGCTGTTTATAAAAACAACCCCAACCAAGTGCCTTGATGTTATTTTTTTTACACCCACGTCTCGTGCAACAGTGCCAACATGACACAGTTGTGCTGGGGAGCAGTTCACATTAGGGCCGATATTGTTTTATTGATACTGATATTGGGGAGGGGAGAAAATCTGATATATCTGCCAATGTATTTCTTACATCTATCTTTATCTTTAAGATGTATGATGAAGACAAGAGGGTCACTCAACTGGAAAGTAATCGGCATGTAAGTGCAGTTTGACTCTCTGGAGAGTGATGATGCTTGTTGTAATCCATATAGCACACTCTGCTGGTGACATAGTTTAATACAATGAACCTCAAATGAAATGCTGTTTGACAGGTGAATAAATCGAGTAATATCAGTGCATATCTGTGATAAAATTAGCCAATACCGATAGTCACTGGATATGCTAGTATCGGCTGATAAATCGGTCGGGCTCTAGTTCACATAAACTTTGGAAGCGGGAAGACGCATGGCAGCCGTGGCAGTGCACTTCTATTTTTCCATCAGGACAATAGTTTAAAAGTTTTCTGTTTTAAAAATAAAACATAAAAAATGTTTGTCCATGTGGGTTTTTGCTCCACCAGTCGATGCCTGCTGGTCTCCTGTTAATCTTGATTTTTGTCTCGTTTTGTAGACTCTTCTTCTACAACATCCCCTCCGGCAGACCACGAATCTTTTTCATTAGGGAGAAAGACAGATCAGTGACAGCAGAAATCGAACCAAATAGGATTACTGGCTCTCTCTATCACTTTCTCACTTCTTATTTGCTACCTTCTAACTTCATGCAGAAACAGCAGTGGAAGCTCATTTTCATTGATTTAGTCTGTATTTTTTCACTGATGTTAAAAGGTGATGTTCAAAAATAATGATCAACTGAAGTTAGATGTGTTTGATTTCTGGTCATTTTAAAGCTGATTCACTAGACTTATTTTATTTCACTAATACACATACCAGAGGTGGAAATTTGCCTTAGGCTCACCATATACATAAAACAGTATAAAAACATGCAGGCCGTCAATAACACTGACAACATAGCAGCTAGGTTAACACATTAAAATCAGTTTATATCATGGTTCAGATCTCATCAGTCATAAAACTCTTCTGCCAACCAAGTAAAGAAAAACTGTCGTTGTCAAACAACCACTCAACACACGCTAACTGTTCTGATCCAATGTGCATACATTGATTTAAAACATATCCTCGGATGGTCCATTTACAGGGCCTTTCAGGGGCCCAACCTTTTCCGTGGGAGGGCCTGCTCTCAGGTATCTTTAATAAATTAGATATGTAAATTATCCCTAGTTTGAAATGCAGCATTATAACCGAGTGTTATTTGTTTGAGATGTCGCTAAATCTTTGTTTCTGTTTTGCTGTAGTGTTTAACATTTGCCTGAAACCGACATCATCTATCAATGTTTTAAAACAAACAGCTGAAAGTTAAGAATGAGTATGTATCTTAATTCGTCTTACCAAAAGTAGAACTTTCTTATTTTTCCTCTTGGACAGCTTGGGGGAAAGTCGCATCAAAGGATGAACAGAATGAGACTGGAGGAGGAAAAAGAGGAGACTCAACTTTAGAGGAATAAATATGACATGAAATGCTTTTATCTAAGTACTGTTCCATATTGTGACGGTTTATGACCTTAACTTAACACCAGGATCAGACCTATAATCACAATGCGTCAAAACCAGCTGCTTATTGATAAAGACTGATGCAAAAATGTGATGGACTCAACGCATTCAACTATAAGTTATCACTCTTTATGCTGACATTTCCACATAGTGATGGAGAAGATTAAAGTACCGTTGGTGGTTTTATTCTGCTCACCTCCAGCTGCTGCAGAGGGCCCACAGAGTTGCGAGCTTTAGAGTAATGAAACAGGAACTGAAAAAAAAAAGAGAAACTCAGAAGGTCAGTGACATGCTGCTAGAAAATATAACATACAGAGAAAGACACTCTCTTAATACTTACTCTTTTGAAAACATTCTGGGCCTGCTCCTGTGGGGAAACACATTTTAACATGAATAACAGATTTTAAAATCACATTTTACAACACAGAGATAAATGCTCAGTTTTAAATTTGCTCTCCTAGTGACATCACAGTGGGATTCTGGTAAATAAATACCCCGCTCCCCCCCCCGGTATCTCCACCCATGTACTCCACCCCCAGCTTAGAGCTTTTGCACATTTTTATTGTTGCTACAGAGTAGTGATGTCTACTGGGAAAACTCAGGGGGGAGGGGGCTCATTGCATTTAAAGAGACACACACACCAAAACGGAGCGTTCTGAGAGAGCTGGTTTATACAGGGTCACAAACCTCCTCTGGTGCTTGATTCATGTTATATTTTGATCAAAGCACAGCACAGATGTTTCATTTAGACCACAGGGGACTGTATGAAAAGGTGAAAAAGGGGTATAAGATGTCCTCTTTAATTGTATAAGGATATAGGTGAACTTACAGGTCCATGCACTGTGGTCTTGTGGTTATAGTTGTTGTATTAACCTGTGTGGTTTGTCTTTATCTAATATAATCCTACAATGTAAAAAAGAAGAACAAGTAATTGTTTGTTTTCCTGTTAAAATTGTTTTCGGGGTTTCCACTTACCTCGTTCTGTTGTCCCCACAGGACATCACTATAATCACCACTTTGAATGCCTCGAACCTGCAGACAAACAGCACTCTTATGTCAATAGATAATGGCAGTGAATGCAACACAACACACCAAGAGAGGAAACATGGACGTGTTTTTTTTAAGTAATGAGCCTGCAGGTCAGACTGTTTGTGCTTTAATCCAAACGTGACAGTCAGGCCCAATGTATTTCTCTCACACTGCAGTTTATGCAGATCTGTTTCATTTATCTCTTTCATGTGTTAACTTTTTAGCAGATCCAACTTTAGGTGGTCATAAGCAAATTATGTGATTGTGATTATGTGAAGCTCGACCCCAGTGTCTCTCTCTCTCTCTCTCTCTCTCTCTCTCATCCCAACCATAATTAACACTAACATTTCAGTCTTTTTTGTGTTTTTCTCCACAACATCCCACACTTCATGATGCCACACATCCACATTCACACTACTGACTTTCCTGATGGACACACTCCATGTTTGTCGTCATCATTTCATTTGTTTACTTTCTCACAATAATTGAATTATTACTTGCAGTTAACTCGTTTCCTTCCCATATTTGTCATGGCCCTTGAGCCAGGTAATGACACAACGAATCCTTACCTTTCTGAATGCTATCCCATCGTCCCATCCATTGAAGGGTCTCGAATCTGAGTGAAGAGCACAGGAGAGGACTTGTGAATGTGCAGCATCAACAGTTTTGACACGTTATAACAATTTCCTTTCATCATAATAAAAAATAGGAGAACTCATATCTGTTTATATATCTATCTATCTATCTATCTGTTGTCCCTGGGCAGATGGCAAGAATAAAATATAAATCAGCCAGTTGTGCACACTAGCCTACCTGGTTTTCATAAGTGAAGTGCCAGTGGTGGCAGAGATGAAATGCAGTAACTCATGCAGCTTATCATTTTGAGGTACGCGTCGTTAACTTTTACTATTTGATATAACACTTGACTGGATATGACTTTATTTCAAAGGGAAAGGATTGTTTCCTTCTTTCACAATTACTTCATGATTTTAAGCATAGTCAGCAATGCAGTATAAAGAAACAAACACATTATATTCAACCCCTCACCCACCCCTACTGACATGTTAATAAACATCCCTTCGTCTCTCTACAAATCTATTTCGCAATTTAAAGTCTGTGAAAACGTAAGACTATATATCCAAGATAATGGAACCTCAAAACTACATACATATGATGTGCTTACACATACACACATACAGTATCTACACTCACACATACACATAAACCAAAAGTTACATATTTCCATATCCTGCCTTCATCAACTTCTGGGCTTTACAAGGATTGTTTCCTTCACTTCATATTTATCTTTATCCATCATTCAGATTTGTATTTTACATGACAAATTCAATGCATCTTCATAGATTAACTACATAAGACTACACAAAGTTATTTTCATTAAATGCATTTTAGATGTTTTTTCTTGATATTTCATAATAAACTTTAAATATTTCTACTTTTGAAAGGTTTGTGTATGATTGTAACCCGTTACTATCCACCACATAGTTGTATAAATGTTGATATGTTTAAACATGAATGAATTAATATAGTAATGTGTAACAGTGATAAGTGAGTAATAACCAGCAGGGCTATCCTCTCACAGTTTAACTTACTTTGTAAAGAAGAGTAAAGGATAGTAGGAACATTTACAGTTTGAAAACCAGCATCTGAAAAAAAAAATCGTTTTTTAACGATTTATCAATTTACATGCAGAACTAATAATTTACCGAATAGGATAATTGATCTTACAGTCTGTTTTTGTGTAGTTTATAGGAATGCAGGGTTACTGACATACACCTCTTCACCACAGATACTTACATGTCTTTACATAACATTTAATTACATAACACCTTCACGGCAACAGGTGTTTCATTTAAAGATTTGGTCCACATAATTTGTAGCTCATTTTAAATAAAGAATCAAATAAGTGACACAAGCTTTAAGTATCTTTGAGGACTGAATAGGGCTTAATTCTTCACAATATGGCACATCATTATTTGTCCTTAAACATGGTTTAAAAAAAAGATAAGATATGATATTTATTTTCGGTGGAGGAGCTCAACGTTATTAAGATACAAGAAGGGAGGAAAAAAGGATGCAATCGCTCTAAATCATTGCTTTATGAGAGTTTAGGATAGGTAACTCCTTATGTGGTTGAAGTTAAGGTTTCAGACAAAAAGCATTAGATATTCATTCAGTGATCATGAATCTCAGTTCACGGCTACATTTGGAAACGAAATCAATATTTAAATATAAAAACTACCTAAATCTAAAATGCTTAGTTTGTTTTTTAATCACTTAATAAGAAAGCAAATAGAATCATTACTTTAAGATTCAAGTTAGAGTGTTTGGAGATAATGTTAAAGCTTTTATGGCTTTTTAATTAAACTTAGGCTGCATTAAGCACGTTAGTCATATTTTAGTGAAACCCGAAAACTTGATAATTTAATTTTCTTGATAATTTTTGGTATTTTACCCAGATTACAATACTAAAATGAGCTGTCATTTTTAATTAGAAAGTAAATATTTAAGTTTAAATGTGTCTTTTTTTCATAATGAACTGGTGCTTTCATAAAGAACTCCCGAGGATTTCCAGGGGAAACTCGTTCAAAGCGACCCACAAACACAACGAACACAACGAAGAGATGAAAATAATTAGACAAAATTAGATTTTTTTTTTTAAACGTAATTTAAAAAAAAAAAAAATCTCTGTTTAAAATATTCACCCACCTGCTGTGCTCCAAGATCCAAGAATCCAGAGAAAACACAAAAGAAAAAGTTGTCGTACAGTTGGCAGAGACATGATCCGTGTAGGTAACGATCCTCTCTTACTCCTCTCTGCTCGGTTCGGTTCGGCTCGGCTCGGTTCGGCTCTCCTCGTATGTCAGCTGTGTGGTCTAGATGCCTCGTGCCCTCTGCCCGCAGCAATTTAAAAGCACACACCCGCTCCCATAAGCAGAGGTGACCAATCACGCCTCCCTGCTCATCAGCACACCCACATGCGCAAATCCAACGCACCCCCCCCAACCCATATCTTTTTGTATTACACACACAGACTTATTTCCTGGAATCAAAGTGCACTGGGAATACTGGGCAACACTTTTGATGCAATCAGGGTGCTGATGTCATATGACTGGACTCTCCTCCAGCATCAGATAGGAAATGATTATAACTAAAACAGCTAATGAGTTACATTTTTGAAAAGCTATTTTCTGACTAAACAAGTTTTTCTTTCAAATGAGCAAATTCCTTTCTATTGATCCCTTTAAATGTTCTGTTTATAACCTCTTTTTGGGGAACGATCTAACCCTTTATTATATACACAGATCAGCCATAATATTAAGACCACCTTTGCCGACAGATAAATCCTCTTCATATTCTTTCGGAGACTTTCATTGACAAATGTTGGTTTTCAAATAAAAAATGCATGCCAAGCTTAGCAGGTTAAACGAGAGGGAGCGCTGTCGGATGGGGCCCCCTTAGGAAGGTATCCAACTGTCATTGCAGAATTTGCACATTTTGAGCCACTGCTGTGGTTTAAAGTTTGTCAGCCCTTGGGGGGCCCCCTACTGGCTTGGGGCCCCAAGCAGTTGCCTACCTTTGCCTGTTGACAAGCAACGCCTCTGACCTTTGCGATCTTGGGACTGTTTCCATTAACGGCGCTTTTTGCGCTGGCAGCCCACTACCGAAGTTTCAGAGCGCTTCTAGCTGGAGCTTATTGTTGCTAGGTTACAAAAGTTAGTCTCTGAAACTGAGATCGTGGGCACTGCCAGTGCAAAAGAAACATCGTTAGAAGACACAGTCCTTATGTGGATGTATTAAAGAGATAAAAGTGAGTACATGTTTTATTTTGTCTGGTCCTCAGTCTGCCACTGACCAATTCAAATTAGCAATTTACCTCATCTGCCACATTTAAATCTCCGTTCTGTAAATTAACGTGCATCGTCCCTATAAAAAGTGAATAATGATGTCTGGCTGTAAGTGAGCCAGACAGGTTTATCCACAGTCTGATCCCTTTTGTTTTATTAAAGTGATCAGGTAGCAGACCTGTTGTTAGGTTGTCTATTTGTGGACACTGTGCTGTATGTTGTTTGTGATCAGGGATTAACTGCTCAGCTCAGGAGAACTGGACACAGGCTGAGATTCACATCTACCCTGACAGAGACGATGATTTTACATTAAATCTGACCTTTTAAATGGATAGTGTGAGAATGACTCTCATTGCCAGACAGTCTGGCAGGTGGTTCGCTTAAGTGCTTTAATGTGTACTTTGCTGGATGATGATTGGGGAAAAAGCAGAAAAATAACTTGTTGAATCATTTTCAATTCAATTTTTTTTTTTTTTTAACTTTGGGTTTTTATACAAGGTCTTCACTCCTATGTTTTTACCGCCTTATGACTTTATTAATTTCACAAACTTTACTTCCACTGCACAACTTTGGCTGTTACTCTGCTGGTCTGACCATATTGATACAGCTTATCTGTTCTACTTATAAAAAACTTTTACTTTTATAACCTATCAAAAAACACTGACTGAACATAAAGATGGACAGCATGTCTTCAACCCCTCTCATTGTTCACAAGGGAAGCAGAAATTATGCTGCCATCTCTTTTGCCTAGTGGAGTATTGATATTGATGTCTATGACCGACAGGCCTTAAAAGAGGAAACCTATAGATGCATTTTTGCTGCAAGAGAGCAGTTGAATAAATATGAAAACTTGTAATGAGAAGGAAGTTGTTCACAATTATAACAAATATACATTTTTGGGGTTTTATAAAAACAGTAGGAAGCATCTTCCAAATTTTGGAAATAATTTCAAACAAAATTCCTTGTTGTGTTATTTAAGTTTTTAGAAACTCTCCTGGTGGTGAGTTTGATTTTTATGGAGATCAACCTGTGCTCTAACGTTTTATTTTAAGATACAAATATTAACATTTCTTTCTTTTTGAAATATGTAGTGCTTTTTTTTGTAGAACCAGTTGAGCTTGTCTATCCACTCCATGGGTTTATGTAATTTTGCATGACTGAGAGTAACAAATAATTTAAATCAACCTCATCTCATCTGAAAGACGATACTCTGCAGACAGATTGAGCTTTCCCGTCTGTGGCAGAGATTTAAAAAAAATAAAAAAATAAAAAAATAAATAAACTTAAACACTATTTACTCTTGAATCTTCCCAGCATGCATCACATTTAAGGATGTGGTAATCACAGGCCATCTTGTGTGATTGTCCTGCATAAAAGCAAAGGAAATAGAAATAATTAAGCCATGGAGATGGAGCTGAAGAGCTTCTCGTTCACTTTCTCATTTTTCAAAGATGGACACGTTCCTTTGTAGGGCCCTTACACAACCAGGGAGTTATGAAATCAAGTTCTCACAGTGGAATATAAACAGCCTTGATCAGAAAAGTGAGTGTATATAAAAGTAATAGTAATAACTGAGTTACATTTCTTTTATATCCATGCACTTTCACATTTAAGATGATCTTATTTTGAATTTCAAAAGTGTTGGGAGGCTCAAAGGCTTCTTAAAGCACAGGATCCCAAACTTTTCAGTTTGTGTCCCCCAAAATAAGGATGCCAGAGACTGGGGAACCCCCCCAGTCTTTGGAGGTGGTTGAGACATATAACAGTGCACTGCCTTACCCACGCACTGATAGGCATATCCAAACACTGATAATTGTGATGTAAGATAAATGTTTCTTTAGATAAAATACTGCAATCAGGATTCTGTTCGCCAGTAAAGGCAGATTTCCATAACATACTAGCATCAATCTAACAAACTTAGAGGTACATCCTGGTCCATCTGACAGAAATCCCATTTCATAAGGCTTTGCGTCTTTCATTCCCCATATTTTGAAGGATCGATCCAGTGCATCCCCAATGGCCCAACATAACCCAAGATTCATTGCGTGCCATTCTTTCCCGTAAACTTTTATTTATAATCAAATTCTGACATTACAATTATGTGCAAATACTGTAGCTAGCATTTATATTTAAATACTATGCATGGGTTGAATGAAATAAAACACTATGAAATGAAGGCATAGAAATAGGATAAATAGAAAGCAAAAAAAAAGTCAGGTGTAATCAGTAATCAAGATATGGTGGGGACAGATGGTGACAAAAACTGGGAATCTTCCGCGGACCAGACCGTCTGAGTTCAGTTCAGTCTGAGTGGTTTATAAAGGCTGGGTCCTTCGTAGACTGTGGCCTTCAAAGGATGCTATCCTCTATTGGGACACAGCATTTGATTACTTATTCCTGCCTCAAGCTGTGGGTTTGAGTCCATTGTTTGTGTCAATAAGACCTTGCAAGGCTGATGAAACAAAAATAATCCAGACTGCTTTGCTGCTATATTAAGCTTACTGTATACCCATATGAGACGCAACAGTGGGTTTGCTCACTACAGGTTTGCACCAATTTAAGCACCTTAGATGTTTTAAAAAAAAAAAAATCTTGAACCTTGAACATTTTTCGAGTGAGGAAGAGATGCAAAAATCAGAGGTAAATATTCACAATGTTCACAAATATCTAAAAACAAATACATAGATATGATAGATCCACACTAGAACTTACCTGTAACCAGGAGCTTCCATCAACTGCCAACAACCTGCTTTACGTGAACAAGTTTGATTAAAAGGTGCTTTTTGGGAGCCAACTGAAGTCTGTTTTGGAACATACAACAAAGTACAAAAAGATTAGTAGAACAGCTTAACCCCCCAGTAGGATGTCAACAGCTTGTTAAAAAAAAGACATTACACAATTGATAATGCACAAGGAGCTTGAACTGATAACTGTTCAAATTTCTGCTGGAGATGGAGCAACAGTGTAGCTTTAGATCCACACTAGAACTTACCTGATGTATAACACACAGGGACATTTGTTAAAACCACCTGGTATTAATTTGCACAGGATAACATATTGTCCAGAGCCGAGGAGTTAATGAGGAGCATAAGTCTCCCACCTCTCGTTAACTACATGTGTCTTAACTCGATAAGCCCTGTCCCTAATTCTATGACACCTTATACCATGACATCAGCACCGGTTCCCATTTTAATCTGACTTTCATAGTGTAAGATGAAAGGTGTGAGTAACACCTGTGCTCTGAATTAAAAGTTGATGGGGTCTCTCATGATCACACTTATCTATGTGTGTTACGCACAGGTGGACTCCAAGATCTCAGCTAAAAATAGAAGGCAACACAAATCATGAATTTCTTTATTAATGATGTATCATGTTACTTTGGATGTCCAACTTCAGAATTTACAATAATCATTGAAGGGAGAATGTGCAACTTTTTGATCCAGTAGATGTCACCCTTGAGCACCAGCATGAAACAAAAACAAACTGGTGTTTGGCGACACCTCCGCCATACTGAGCCTCCACTCTCCTCCCCTCTTTTCCATACCTCCAATTAACCTCCACTTGCAGTGGAACGAAGGAGATTAGCGCAAGTGTCGGACAAAACTGTCCATGGCTCGAGCTGCAATTGCCTGTGGCCTGCATTGTTGTGTTAGCAGGCTAATGTTAGCGAAACTGAGTTAGCTCTTAGCTTAACATTGCATATCATTAGACACAGAATGAACGTGATCTAAAAATGATTACATATTTTAAGCTTTAAGTTTGGCAATTTTGCTGTTGCCAATTTGTTTATTTTGGGAGTCAGAAGCAGTTATATTTTGAGAGAAGAGAGGTTATTAAAGTGAACCAGTAAAGTCAGTGCCAAATTCACTAGCTGACTATTTGCTGGTAACAAGCTAAGCTAGCCAGCCTGCTAATTGGTGCTAATATATAAAGAACACACTTGAAATATACTTAAATAACTGTCTAACTTTACAGATTTCAGTTAAGTTATTGAACAGCAGATCATATTCACT